CTATATAAGCAACCACATCTCTTCCTTGATCACCCCTCTGTGCCCGTCCATACCCAGCAAATGAAGGGCAGGCTGGTGGGAGCACGGGCACTGAAGGAGCTCCTGGCCCTACCCATAGGCCATGCTGCAGGTTTGAATGATGGCTTTGACCTCCTCACATGTATTTATTAAATTAATGGAATTTAGGGTCTGCAATACAGGAGAATTTTCCAACAGAAAAAAAATTTGGTATATGCTTTCTGAATGTGTACCCCAAAGCTTTCCTAGCTTTAAACTAGGATAGATAGGAGATGGAAAAGGGGATGGGAATAAAGTTAGCTCTTAGCTCCCTTAAAACTAGTGTCCCTTTGTGTTTTGCTGTCTTCCAGCACCCCAGCAAAGCCCTCTGTCAAGCACATGAGCAAAAGATTGGGGTGATTCCACCAATATAAACAAATCAGATTTATTTTCCTCACATGTTGTCTTGGTGTAACAGATTTTACTACTCCTGCTCTTGACCCTCTGTTGGGCTTCAGGACCTGTTGGCTGTATTCTGCTGCAGTTTGCCCTGAAGCTCCCATTGAATTCAGCTTTTCAAGTGGATGGCAGATTCTGGCCTCAGCTTGAAAAACCCCTGGGACTCTGGCTCATAGTTCCATGAAAATAGACCAAGTTTTCCATAATCTGCAGCCAAACAGCATCACTGCTGGTTTTATGACTGCTGTTGGTCTCGGCAGCTATTTTCATTAGGCCACTGAAATAATACTTTTTTGTTACAATAGACTTTTAAATTTTCAGTGTTTATCATTACAATAGACTTGGAGAACCAAGAAGAGAGGAAAAACACCAGGATTGCTGATGATAGGGCCAACATCCCAAAGCTCCCCCTTGGTTAGTGGCAGCACTGCCCCAGGATCCAGCCCTTACATTGGAAATGCACGTTTAAATAGTTGTTCCCTCGCTGCAGTTTCCAGACATCAGCTGCTTGGATAACTTGGGAGCAGCACCCAGGCTGCGTGCAGGCTTTATTTAATTTCGTTAATGGAATAACCGGTCAGAAGTGATGTCTGATTTGGATAATGGAGAGCACTGTAAAAATAACTCTTGCAGTCATTTAGGGAAGGATGGTCAGCCTGATCCTCTGGGTTTGCTGTTGTCTCAGACGGAGGAGGCAGAGATAAGAAGGAGAAATAGAGACAGCAGTATGTCCTGTGGGAGTAGGTTGCCTGCTGGTCCCTCAGCCATGGTGCATCTCGTATTTTTCAGTACCTTTTCCCTGGATGGTTCAGTGAGAGGGATCCAGCCACAGGAGTGAGGACAGGAGAATGACTTGTCATCCTTTTAGGGGTGATTCTGCCTCAACCTCTCTAATTGCAGAAGATGCTGCAGGGTCATCAGTCAGCCAGGGACTGAGATGTAGCCAGGGGCCCCATGAAGCCCATTGCTTTGCTCATGAGATAAAATAGAGCTCTTTCTTCCCTTTTAGTCTCATGCATTGCATTTTCCCTTTCAGTACTTCTAGAACTGTACTAATTATTAATAATTAAGCTGACGAGGAAAAACTTGGTTTCCTTCCATTGTGTCTAGAGTAAGCCAAGAAGCTCAGCATGGGAGCTAGCTCCATGTCTTGCCCAGCCCTACCTGGTCTCAGCACACCCCATGGTGGTTGCCTCATAGTACCAAAAAGCTGAGAAATGTGGTGGGTTCTGGGTGATGGAGCTGAGAGGTGAGATACAAAGACAGATCTCAAACCTGACCTGGCACCCTGTTGAAGCATGTTGGCCTGAGCCCTATTTCACTGACTTCCCTTTGCCAGTAGATTTTTGCTACTTTTCTTGTTGTTTTTGTTTGTTTGTTTGTTTGTTTGGGGTTTTTGTTTTGTTTTTGTTTTTTGTTTTCATTCTCAGACACCCAGGAGACCCATGCAGAGACTGAGGTCTTCAGCGCAGGCTTAGGAAACTCAGGTTAGTCACCACAAGTGGAAAAGTTCCAGCTTTGCTGCAGCCAAATGTACCTCTTGCAGCCCCTTGGTTGCTCATCAGGTCTCATCTTGCCCTTAGACCTTCGTGTGGTCCTCAGACCACCACCACCACCACCTTGGTGTTTAAGCAACTGCAGCTGGGTTGTAATGCAGGGGCAAGCCTCCCACACATGGTGCTCTTTCCTGCTGTCCTTGCAGAGCCTCAGGATTTATTTACCTTCCTTTTCCCCTTCATTCCTTGTTTCTCACCCTTTTTTTTTCCTCCTTTGACTATGGACCAAGGCACCTCTCTGGCTGTGCACTGCCCCCCTTCCTCATAGCAAGAGCGGTTTCTCTGTTCAATTCTTGCATGCAAAAGCCAGCATTAGATAATTGCTGGATTGAAGAGAGGCTGTAATTATTTTTGCTTCCAACTACAGGAGCGAGCAGTGTTTGCCAAACTGCTTGGTAACTGCTGGCAGATGTTCTTCGGAGGGTATCCCTGCCCTGCCTCCATCCCTCCCTGCTGTCATATGGACCATACGTCTTCATTTTAACTGTTCACTGGATCCCTTTTCAAAGAGCTTCTCTGTGCTGGCCTGAAGCATTACAGTCCTCTTCCATCTTTAAGTGACTAGTGCTTGCAAACCAAAACAAAGCTCAGCATTTAATATTTTCCCTGTTGTTACTCTGGGTAACTCCTGGCAGAGAGCAGGAGGGTATTGCTGGCAATGCCTGATGCTTGGGGAGTGCAGACTGAAGGATCAGGCTGTGAACTCAGTGCTGACTTAATGGAGCAGCTCTGATGATTAAGGGCTGTAACAGAGGCATTATTGCAGCATGAAGAACACAACAGGAGCAGATCCATAGTAATTTTATTTTATTTTCCTCCTCTGAGCAGCACTGGGACCGGTTGGTAATCTGGAACATCCCTGTGCAATGTCACAGCCCTTGTGCATCTGGCTGGTCCCTGCAGGTCTCCCCAGCTTCAGAAGGACCTGGTGGTCCCCTTGGTGGGTGGCATGGGGCATTGGTCCGCACTGGGGTCTTGGGGTGAGGAGGGGGTGCAGCAAAATGAGGTGTCGGGGGTGTTTGGGAGCACGATGGGGGCTGGGGTCAGGCAGGAGAGGGTGTCCTTGCTCCTCTGAGATTCATAAACATCTGCAGGGAGACATGTTAGGTCCAAAGCTTTGATGAGCAGACCATCTGGAAAAAATAAAACCCCAGAAATTTCCTAACACTCTGTGCCTTTTGTTCAATTCTATTTCTAAATGAAGTAATTGCAGGTGAAAAAATGTAGTGTTTTATCTAGAAAACTTCTAGTGCTTTGAGGGCTTTGAACCATCTTTTCCCAACTGGATCATCTGCAAGATGGTCCCTTGCCCATGGCCATCCCTGCATGATGACCTGCCACTGGAAAACAACATTTTGTCAGGAAAATGCCCAAAATACTGGGATCCTCTGCATCTTTGTCCCCAGCAGACATTGGTACTTGCCTATTACACCATTGCCAGCAGTGGGGTGGAGGGCCTGCCATCATGCCTGAAGGTTCCTCTGCTGCTTTGCTTTTCTTTAAAAGCCAGTACATCTTGTTAAGAGATTCCTCCATCACTCAGAGGAGCATGTGTTAGCACAGAGAGGCTTTGAAATACAGGGTTATGCTCCTGAGATGCTGCAACTCGCTGCTGTTGCTCATCTGTTTTGTGCTGGGTCCACATTCATTTGTTCCAGCTTCTTAATGCCAGGGGTGTCGTTAAGTCTTTTCATGATAATAGGGGGTGAAACCCCACAACTTTTATATATAAAAATATATATTTACGTGTATATATATGTTCATATATGTATCTATGAATGCTATAACATTTATATATATTTATCTATTCAGCTGTATTTTCAAAGAGGACCCTAGGATCCTAGGTCTATCTTGTGTATGTATCTTACCAGCATGGAGGAGTTCTTGGGTCTGTGAAACCACGACCAGAGGAGAAGAGCAAAGCTGGGAGGCTGCAAGCTGGCTTGTGTCTCTGCGGGCAGCAGCGGCTAAACTTGGACAGAGTGGAGAAAGTGTTTTTTGCAGCATCTGGGTGCCGAGTGCATCCTTACGAAGGACACAGTGAGAGACGAAGTCAACTCCTGTTTTCCCACCGGGTTGTGCCACCCCTGCATTCATCACCAGCGAAGCTGTTGGAGAAGCAGGGGGATGACGGCTGCCCGTGCCCAGCAGCTCTCGGTGGAGCCGGGTGCCTGAGTTGCGGTTGCAGGCGCTGCTGACTGATGGCAAATCCCCGCAGCTAATGACACGGCTCGTCCATCTTAATGAGGGTGCTCTCCTCCTTCCCCCGGCGCACTGGAGGAGAAACGAGCCCTGTCATTAGATGCTTGTGCACCCCAGGCTGAGCAACGCCAGAGCATCTCTCTTTATAAATGAGCTAAAATGGTGTGGTTTGCTGCATGAGGGAAGGAGTTGGCAGCTCCCCGCGACCACAGAGCCAGCAGCATCCCCAGGCTGCTGCTGAGGTTTGCTGTGGGACCCCGAATTCAGGGGGTGTCCCACTCTCACAGCCAGTTTTTAAGGCTCTTTGCAAAACCAGCCAGGGTGGCACAACCTCGTTTGCCTAAGAAATTTTGGTCTTTACGAGCTGAAAAAAATTGGTGGTCCTCTCTGGTCTCAGCTGCTTGGAAGAGAGGGAGAGGGTTCATACCCCCATGGGCTGCTGCCAGGCTTTCCTTGTGATGTATTTTAAATGGGCAGTCAGAGACATGGTGTGCTGTTGAACCTTTGCCTTCTTCAAATTGCCCTGTAACATTTTCAGACAGATTAAAATAAAAAAAGAAAACAACAAAGAGAAGAGGAAGAGTTAGTTTTCTGTGTACTACAAATCGAGAAGGGAAAATTAACCATCTGAGAAATGCTGGTAATGATGCATGCTTTTGGAGGGGATAAGTAATAAGTCTCTCAAAGGTCACAGTTTTGCTCATGGTTAACCTTCAGCAAGCCGTTACATAGTCAGGGCATAGGCAATGCTGGTATCAGATGTATCCATCTTCTCTTTTCTTCCAGGATCGGGGCTGAGACCTGCTGAGGGATAACAAGGTGGTGCAGCGCAGGGAACTCCTCTGACAAGCTGTAAAAATCAAATGGCGCTTGACTTCACTAGCAAAAGAAGGACAAGGGGAAGGTGTTGGAACTGCAAACATGGAAACTTGCTGTGCTGAATGCAACCAATAAAGTGAGTTTTGGTCTGCAGAACATTTGCTGCCATCAGGGTTTCTGTCTGCTGATGGGGAAGATGGGGTCTGCCTGTGTTGAAAAGCGAGCGACGAGAAGGGCGAAGCTTTGCTGACGTCTGGGGAGCACGGCCAGTGCCTGGATGCACTTTGCTGGTGGGGAAGATACTGTCAGAACTTGTGGGCAGGGGGGGTTTGAGCCATGGGGCTGCTCTGGGCTTTGCCCTGCGGCGGGGCCGGCTGGCTGCCCTGGCACTGAGACACCAGGGACGTGGGGCCAGGTATCCGGCCGTGCTGCCAGCCCTGCGCTTCAGCATCGTCTCGGGGACTTCAGAGAAGGAAAACAAGAAAGTGACTGAAAAGTGTAGCAGTGCTGATCTTCTAGCCTCAAGAAAAATAACCTTTCTGTTCTGCTAGAGATCTCTGGGCTGCGTTTATACATGCTGCTTGGAAAGTCTCTTCTACCCCTTGATTTCTCGCCCAGTTTGAAACATTTTATTTGTGTGCGTGCGCTTGCATCTATTTTCACTCTGTCTGTGTGTCATTGTGAAGCAATGGGCTCAGAACAAGACCCCCCCAAGCATCTGTAAGTAATAATGAGGCGCTTGATTTCAAACCACATTTGTGATCTGGAAGCCCTTCAACTCTCCCAGCTTTCCAAGTGACGAGAAAAAAGCCGAAAGAGGACGGAGCGCGCAATGGCAGAGAAGTGTGACTGTATCGCCAGCATGTATGGGTACGACCTGGGCTGTCGCTTCGTTAATTTTCGCCCCTTGGGCTTTGGGGCCAACGGGCTGGTGCTGTCAGCCCTCGACAGCAAGAGCTGCCGCAAAGTGGCAGTGAAGAAGATCACCATCGGTGACGCGCGGAGCATGAAGCACGCTTTCCGGGAGATCAAAATCATCCGCCGCCTGGACCACGATAACATCGTGAAGGTGTATGAGGTGTTGGGGCCGAAGGGGACCAACCTGCGTGGGGATTTTTTCAAGTTTAACATGGTGTACATCGTCCAGGAGTACATGGAGACTGACCTGGCGCGGCTGCTGGAGCAGGGGAAGCTCGCCGAGGAGCATGCCAAGCTCTTCATGTACCAGCTGCTGCGTGGGCTGAAGTACATCCACTCGGCCAACGTCCTCCACCGCGACCTCAAGCCAGCCAATATCTTCATCAGCACGGAGGACCTGGTGCTGAAGATCGGCGACTTCGGGCTGGCCAGAATCGTGGATCAGCATTACTCGCACAAGGTAGGCGATGCCAGTGCCATCCTGGCGAGCTGCAGGCTGTCACAGGGAGGTGTTGGATGCATGTAGGGTGAAGCGGTCGGACCGTGGTGGATTTTCTCAGGAGAAAATGGTCCTTGGGGCTGTCTGGGCATCTGTAAGCGCTGCCGGGGTGGTCACTGGTGGTGGTTGCCCTCCCTGCCCCAAGCCAGGACCTGTTTTGTGGGCAAAGCCTGTGGATTGAGCTCCGCCAAGAGTTCCCCAGGGCTCTCCCGTGCTGCAAAGCAACAGGTAGGGCACAGGAAGAGTTCAAGTGCCATTCAGGTATCTTTCATTGCTTTATATCATATATATCAAATATGTATTTTATTCCATCCCGTCAATGGACTGTGGGGAGGCGTGTGTTTGCTCTCTTTACTTAAATGACTAAGCTCTGTGTTTCTTGCTTTGCTGCTTTTATAAAACACAAGCTGCTGTTCATCCCCACAGTGGAAGCACATGGAAAGGGTACCTGGCTCATCCTCAGCCACTCTGCTTGTCTTTGTCCTCATTTCTGTGCCAGCCTGCTTCTTAAAGACCCAACTCTGTCTGAATTACAGTTATTTAATTGTAGGGAGAGGGATCGGTCTTTGAGCTACAGTCATATTCTTTCATCAGAGATTAAGATACAAATAATGTATAAAATGTTTTGCTCTTTGGTGCTTACATACTGTAATGTAATGCAGTAATAATTGTGAGTGGCTGGGTGCATCCACTGTGATCCCATCCATTGATCTGTGCACGCCTGCTTGTGGCAGTCTGTCTGGGTTGGAGAAGGAAGGAAAGGAGAATGAAGCAAAATTTAAGAAAATTAATACCTGCCCTTGAGTAGGGGAAATCCGTCCCCTTCCTTGGCGGGTCTTTGAGATTGACTCTGTTTTCCTCTCCTGATGCTGTCACCATCTCCTGTCAGTCTGCCCAAGGAGGGATGAAACTCCCCCAAACTGTCACTTTCTCACGACAGACTAGTGAGCCATGGGCTGCGGGCTCCTGCAGGAAGGGTCGCAATCCCAGGCAGCTGCCAAACCCTGCAGAATAATTTAAGGTACTGAAAACAGTTCTATACTCAGGCAAAAATGCAAGTATTAAAGGAACTGCATTTTTCCTCTTAACAGATTTAAGTTAGCATGGCAGTTACTTGCAGCTAAGCCCACCTAGTGGGATAGCCCTGGATGTGTTGCTCTCTGTTGGGACGTGAGCTGGGGAGGGACCTGGCATCCTGTGGCCACTGTAGCTGGGCTGCTCCCAGGCTGTGCTGTGCCCTTGAGAAAGGGAGGTTGGAACTGGGAACAGCTCACGATGTCTTGCTGGTGGAGCAGCTCAAGGTGGGAGCAGTGGCTGTGCTGGCAGAGGGAGGGAGGGAAGGAGGGAGGGAGGCAGGGAAAAAGGGTGAGAAGTCTCCATATCACACAGTCCTGATGCTAATGGATTTTGAAGGAAGTTGCAGATGTTTAATGCAGGTTGCCATCCAGGCTGGAGCTTTTGAGCAGTGGAGGGAGCACGGCCGAGGCTTCATCAGCTTGCAGATTCACATGGTCCCAGGAGAAAGCAAAATATTGTGTGGTCTGCACCAGTACACATGATGCAGTCTGCAGCTGGTTTCTGGTTAAAGTTACTTTTTGGTATTGTAAGATAAGATACAAATCTATTTTCCCGAGCTGGATGTTTGTGTGGATGAGTTCAATGTCCCTCATGGACCTGCTGTTGCTCCTGTGCCAATTTTTAAATGTGCTTTGCATTTATCAGGGGGTTTCTGCCCAGCATGGCTCTGATTTGGACACCGTTGCTTTGTACAGGGAGGCAGGGAAGGGGAGAAGGAAAAGGATGATGAAAAGACAATCTCATGATCCCGAAGCTGAGCCCTGATCTGTTCTAGTTTCAAATCTGGGGCTTGGGGAGAAAGAAGACCTGGGGAAAAGGAAGAAAGTCGCAAGAGACATTGGGGAGTGAGTGTGGGGTCCTTGTCACTGCTGCCTCCCCCTCTTGTGCTCCTTTCCTCACTGGTTATTTATTATGCAACGCAGGAGAAGGCTCCAGGCTTTTTAAGTGTGTGGGTTGTTTGTTTTTTTTTTTTTTTTTTAAAGTCAGGTGAATTCAGAAGCTTTTCCCAAGGGAGGGTAACTCACAGAGAAAACCCCTGCAAACAAGGTAGTGCTATATGAACACAGAAAGTTGCTGAGGAGCATCATCTTGTCACAGACTGCAGGATCAAGGTAGGAGTCTGTCCATGTCTGCTGCAGAATTATTGTTATTTCTAAGCGATTCTCTGTTGTCTTAATAACATCCAGGGCAGTGGAAAAGAGCTGTCAGGAGGATGGCCAGGGATGTGGCTTCATGGTAGGACGTAACTCTGTAAAATGCCATTGCATGAGCACCTGATTCCTCCCAGGGGTGGGAGGCTGGAGCATCAGTGCAAAAAAACAGCAGATCCCCACCGTGCAGAGACCTGGATACCACGCCAGAGCAGAGCCAAAATTAGCAGTGCTGTGGTGAGCGTCCAGCACCACAAATAGTGTCAGTTATTTGTAAATTCTGGCAATGAGGAGGACTGTGTTTGCTGAAGCTGGGTGACAGACGCTGCAAAGGCAAATACAACAGGAGGGCTTGGATGGGGCTAGGGGTCAGTCCTGCCTTTGATTTCCAGCTCTTCTCAGATGACTTAGAAAAATCAATTCCTTTCCGTATTTCTCTTTCAACCTCCGCTTTCCTCAAGGGCTTGTATGGATTTATGGGCTCATACGGATTTGTGGGCTCATACAGATTTATAAGCTCCTTGGTCTGTGCTCTTGCAGAAAGAATCAGCGAGAGGGAGAGGACCAGAGCATCACGTGTCTGAAGCTGCTGAGCTTCCACCCTGCTGCTGATCGGCACTGAGCAGAACAGGGATCCTTACACCACGAATTTTGGTGCTACCAGCAGGTGCTAATGCAGAGCTGCCCAAATGCAGATGAACTCCAGCTCCCTGGGTACTTAATTGCTGCAAAGACGCAGTAGATCCAAACGACTGAAGGCAGTGCCATGCTATGCCTTTAGCATAATGTTTTCTTGCAAAGCTTTGTGATGAGGAAGGGTCATCTTAAGTGCTTGGATTTTTACCCTTACTATGTTTTGTATCTGAAATATGCTTAGACTGATGGCTGGGTTCTGCTGAAACAAAAAATTGCAGGTTATATGGTGTTATCCATCTAAAAGGTCACATCTCTTCTGACCCGATCTTTATCAAATTCCAAATCATCCTGCTGAGTGTTAAAATAGCAAATAATAACTGCGACAGACTGTGAACAGTTTTAAATAGCTTCAGAATGCATATACTACCTAAATAATAGCCTTTACTTGGCAATGTGTCTTGTTTACATGGCTTGCAGCAGGCAACCATTTAATTAGGATAATTTGGTGGGAAAGGGAGAGCTCTCCACTCTGGGAGATGCCCTGGACCACAGCGGGATGCTGGCCTTCACCAGCTTTGAAGCAGAGCAGCTTCGCCTGCATTTCTCCCACCATTTAGCCAGTGTTTGCTGCTCAGATCTCCTTCTTCGTGTGGTAAGAGCAACACAGGAGCATCTGTTCATTTGAACTCCATTGTAACAAACGAGATGAATTTCAGGCTTCCAAGGTCACGTCCAGATCTGGGTCTGCACCTTCACAGGCTGCTTAGACCTGGTGGCTTAAATTATATGCCTGTCTCAGATAAACGTGATTCTAAGCTCCCTGAGTGCTCCTGTACTTGCAAACATCTCTTTGGGACACAAAAAGAGCATGTCTAGCAGAAGAGAACCCTCAGGAGATGATACTGTGCGACCCCTTCTCTCTCTCACCCTTTCTCTTCCTTGATGCTCTTGCCATCCAGCTGTGCAGGCTCCTTTCTCTCCCTTCTTACTATTTTTATTCCCAGGAGTCACTAATCCTGCTATTCTTCCGTCTAGAGTATCTCCACATTAATCCTTTTTCCCTTGGTCGCTGCTGTTTGTGGTCTGAGCACTTTGCCATGCAACTTGGTGCCCTTATGGTGAATGCAGGAATGTTGGAGTTGAAGGTACTGGGCAGCTCTGGCTTCCATGAGGTCCTTATCTTTAGGCAAAACAGTAAAAGCCAAGTATTTCCCTTTTCATAAACTACCTCTTTGTTGAATGCAAGCATCTCATCTTCACCATCGGAGCACTCTGCAGAGTCCTCTCCATCTGCAGCCTTGTGGTCCTGCCTGCCCCACACCTCACTGCCTTACCCCCATGGTCCAGCCCCTGCCTGCATTTCTCCAGAGGTTGTTTAGCTATCCCTCCCTCCATCCCTCCCTCCCTCCATCCCTCCCTCCCTCCCTCCCTCCATCCCTCCCTCCCTCCATCCCTCCCTCCCTCCATCCCTCCCTCCATCCCTCCCTCCATCCCTCCCTCCATCCCTCCCTCCCTCCATCCCTCCCTCCCTCCATCCCTCCCTCCATCCCTCCCTCCATCCCTCCCTCCCTCCATCCCTCCCTCCATCCCTCCCTCCATCCCTCCCTCCATCCCTCCCTCCCTCCATCCCTCCCTCCCTCCATCCCTCCCTCCATCCCTCCCTCCCTCCCTCCCTCCCTCCCTCCCTCCCTCCCTCCCTCCCTCCCTCCCTCCCTCCCTCCCTCCCTCCCTCCCTCCCTCCCTCCCTCCCTCCCTCCCTCCCTCCCTCCCTCCCTCCCTCCCTCCCTCCCTCCCTCCCTCCCTCCCTCCCTCCCTCCCTCCCTCCCTCCCTCCCTCCCTCCCTCCCTCCCTCCCTCCCTCCCTCCCTCCCTCCATCCATCCCCACTCTTATTCCCTAATAAATATCTTTGGCTTCAAAGGAGGGTCTAGATGTGATCTGCCTCAAGTTTGATCTAGAAGGGAGTGTAAAAGTGAGATGCTGTCCTCCCTTGAGCACCTTCAGCTTGTGGTGGGCAGGAGGGATGGGAGAGCAGGGAGACAGCAAAATCAAACATTAAAATTTGGGATAAATATCAATGAATGTCTAGACTTCAAAAT